AATAGCCGTCAGAGTGATCACCACTATTGAGGGCAAGTGGCTTGTTTGTTTTTATTGGGTTTTTATGCTTAGAGTGTTGGATGTGTAGGAAGGCACTTTGAAAATGCAGCTAAGTAATCGAACTGTGTGTTTCTTGTGGCATTGAATGCCAATAGCTAGAGTGTGGTCTTCTAATATGAGTTTCTAAAAATCTTTTAATTTTTTTTGTTTTTGTTGTTTGTTTTTTGTTTGTTTTGTTCTTGAGGCAGAGTCTCACTGTGAAGCCTTAGCTGGCCTAAAACTTGCAGTGTAGACCAGGCTGGTTTCTAACTCATAAAGCTCTGCCTGCCTATGCCTCCCGAGTGCTGTTTTAATGTGTATTTTAAGTAGTTAAAAGGCTGCTGTGAGGTTGTAAGGGTTGGTAACTTTCTGTCAGCCCAGGGTGGCTTTATGGCAATCCTCTTGCCTTAGCCTCTGAAGTACTTGAATTACAGATGTGAGCCACCATGCCTGGCAGATTTTCAGATTTTTTTCTTTCTCTTCTCTTTTTTCTTTCTTATTTTTTTTATTGTGGAGAATGGCATTGCTAGAACTCTGGCATGTAATGACCTGTCTAGTCTCTCAGGCTTAGGCACAGCTAGAGTTGCAAGCTATGTGCCTGGGGCCTAGTGCTAGGCACACCACACCACCCCTCAGACTGGCACCAGCTACCAGAGGGCCCCCCGCTGTGCCTTACAAGCTAATATTCTCTATAATAAGTCACGCTTTCCCTTCTAAAAATGACTCCGATTTAAATGGTTTTTTTGGTTCAGCTACATCTGAGTTTCGCTCGGTTTGCATATGACCCTGCATGTGTGTTCAGCTCTGATTCTTTTCCTGACCCTGTCTGTCCACAGAGCTTGTCTGTGAACTGTCGTACGTGTCCATATAAAGAGAAAGGAAACGTGGTAGCTCACCCACACAGAGCAGGGCCTCTTGTCCTTGGCCCTCAGGCAGGCACTGTTCCAGAGAGAGGAGAAGTCTAAGACACGAGGCTGATCTTTGTTTCTTAGAGTCTTGATACGACCGAATTTGTTGACATGTTTGCATGTTTGGCCTCTCGAACAAGCAAGCACGGGGGGGGGGGGGGGGGGGTGTATATCCCTCTCAGCGTGACGGTTTTGTTTCTTAGCAGTATTTGTGCTGATGGCTTACAGAATAAAGCCCTGCCTGGTGGCCTTGAGAGACCTTCTGCCACCTCTGTGACAATTAATACAATGTGCTTTCTCTCCGTTTTGGTCACCAACAGCATATAGAATTCCTACCTACTTCATCACATTGGGTTTCTTTTCATCCTTTCCAGGCTGATGAAAAAAAAAAAAAAAGAAAACTGTATCCACGTTTTCCTGGTTATTACTGCTGGGAGTGAACCAACTCACTAACTTGTTTACTGACTGACTGACTTTTCAACTAACTTGCTAGCTTGCTGCCCCCTCCCTCCTCTTCCTCATTCTTCTCCCCCTACACTGTTGTTGAATTTTTAGGATCTTTGGAAATTGCCCACCGCCATATTGGCATTTGTATATCAGCACTGTCATCATACGTTCTGACTAATCCTTTACCAGAAACACGTGGCAATTTTTTTGTATTATTCCTGTATTAATTTTCTGTCTAGAGAGTTGTATTTTTGTACATAGATCAGCAGTATTTCTCTTCATTGTTTCTAAATTGTGCCTTCTACCTGTTTGTTTTTAATAAACAATATAAAAAGTCTATATGTCCCAATAATTCTATAATTTTTTCCCATTTTGGTCTTTATAAGCTCCATAAACATTTTTTAGTTGGTTGTCTAAGGAATCAAGATTTATGTTTCTCTAAATGGACAACCGATTGTGCTCACCATTTAGTGAAAAACCTACTCTTCCGATTTCTTTGGAATTGGTTTTGATGATCAGTAAAGTGTCTTGTGTGTGTGTGTGTGTGTGTGTGTGTGTGTGTGAGTGTGTGTGAGTGTGTGTGTATGTGAGTGTGTGTGTGTGTGTGTGTGTGTGTGTGTGTATGTGTGTGTGTGTGTGTGTGAGTGTGTGTGTGAGTGTGAGTGTGTGTGTGTGAGTGTGTGTGTGTGAGTGTGTGTGAGTGCGTGTGTATGTGAGTGTGTGTGTATGTGAGTGTGTGTGTGTGTGTGTGTGTGTGTGTGTGTATGTGTGTGTGTGTGTGTGTGAGTGTGTGTGTGAGTGTGAGTGTGTGTGTGTGAGTGTGTGTGTGTGAGTGTGTGTGAGTGCGTGTGTATGTGAGTGTGTGTGTATGTGAGTGTGTGTGTGTGTGTGTGTGTGTGTGTGTGTATGTGTGTGTGTGTGTGTGTGAGTGTGTGTGTGAGTGTGAGTGTGTGTGTGTGAGTGTGTGTGTGTGAGTGTGTGTGAGTGCGTGTGTATGTGAGTGTGTGTGTATGTGAGTGTGTGTGTGTGTGTGTGTGTGTGTGTGTACGCACAGCTGTGTCCATTCTCTGTGCCCTGGTTTTCCATGATGCTGATAATGCACTAAGATAATTAATCTTAGCCTACAACTTTTAAATCAAGAAGGGAAACTCCCATCTCTTGCTGATGTCTTTTTGAAAACATGTTTGTGTTTTTGTGTTTTCTTTCATACGAATGTGGAGATGCATTCTGTCAGCGGTGATGAAGAAATGCCTATGGAGCCCTTTAATCAGGAATTCATTGCATTGACAGGTTGATTGTAGATAAATCAGCATTTTGACACTATTTAGTGAAATTCTGAGTTGCTTCTATTAAGCTCTTTAGTTATGTACATATCTTTACATATATCTTGCTTTGCATGGTTTATTTCTTACTATTACAAATGGGGACCCATTTTCCATGGCATTTCCATGAATAACAAAGTGTGTGTGTGTGTGTGTGTGTGTGTGTGTGTATTTATACTTACTTGATAAAATTCTTTTATTGGTGACCATTTTACACATTTCTTTTTCTTGATTCCTCCCATTGGCTTGGGCTGAAAACCTTTAGGGTGTCTTATTCCTGTGTCTAAATTAGAATTTTCTAACATTCCACTATTAGCGAAGGCAAACCAACTTTATCCACCTGGTGAAATTCTTTGTGTCCATAGTTCATTGAGGCCTGTGCATTTTACCACAGGTGACTGCAGATTCCTGCCAAGGGCTCATTAATCCTTCAGTTCCTGAGGACCCAGAGATGATCCAAAATAGCTTGACCCTCTGTGTTGACATTCCTGCCTGGCTTAGAAACCAAGTCACCGAGCAAAAGCTTTCCTTTTCCTTCTACTCACACCTGGCTTTGCACATGCTGAAGGCAAAAGCTTCTTTATATTCACACATCTTAGCTTTTCTTGCCACTTGCAATCCTGTCCCACAATCCTCCACCAAATAAAATCTGGAGTTTTTTTTAAATTAATAAGAAATAGCTAGTAGACAACAAGACCACCAGGTCTGAGATTTTTCTGGCAGATGCCTTTGAAAAATATCATGTCACAGCTTCTGTTTTAAATGCCTCTAATATTTTTTTCTGGTTGATCATCATCATGAGTAGCCTTCTGCCACCTCTCAATTCGGTGAGGGCCTCTGTACTGTCCACAGGAGGGTGTGAGACAGGAATCAGTCTAAGCCCTCACTTCCTGTTGAGGCTTCACATAGGGTCGGGAGCGGGAAGCAGCCGCTTCTCTTTCTCAGCTCTCCCACTGCCCAGGGTTAGTTCAAAAGAAATGCTTTCACATTGACTGATAAAAAATGGTTTAATTGCAGAGCATATTTGCTCATTCTGAGGTGAAGAAAGATCTTTTGCTAAGCCAGGAATCCTGTTTTGGTCAGGCTTACTTTTGGGCCATGACACTGATGTGACCGGACACCTGTCTAGAGAACTGTCCCCATGTCCAGTGACAGGTTGCCTTGGGAAGCTGACACTTGCTGTGATGACATCTGTCATATTTAGGCATGTGAAGTGTTAGAGAATTCTGTAGAGCCATCTCAGTAAAATGCTTTCTTTGGGAACTCTTACAACAAGACCTTGTCAAAATGTGGATACAAACAGCATAGAAGAGAACCCTTTTTTTTGTTGTTTTGTTTTTTTGTTTTTTTGAGACAGGGTTTCTCTGTGGTTTTGGAGGCTGTCCTGGAACTTGCTCCAGGCTGGTCTCGAACTCACAAAGATCTGCCTGCCTCTGCCTCCCGAGTACTGGGATTAAAGGCCTGTGCCACCAACACCGGGCAAGTACCTGATGTCTTTTAAATGATATCTTTTAAAAGGATCTTTTCTGTCCTTGGTACAAGCTGGATAGATCTGATTATTTTCTGATAACATAGCCAAGAAAGCAAAAGTATGCTAAATAGCATCATTTTTATTTGCATGTCTATAGGTGTGTGTTCATATATGTGCATGTGTGTATGTGTGCACCTGGAAGTCAGAGGTCATTCTTAGGCTTCATCTACCTGGCTTTTTGAGACATATTTTTATCATTTGGCCTTGAACTCTTCGAGCAGGCCAAGCTGGCCAGTGAGCCTAGAGATCCACGTGTCTCCACCTCCTCCTCAGCTTCCTTACCTGGATTCTTAGGGACTGGACTCATTTCTTCTGCTCGCTCGTATGGCAGGTAGTTTACTAACTGAGCAATCCTCCTGCTCCCCTCCCCCACTTCTTTTTAGTGGGTTAACATCATCCTTCTTCAGTCTCCAACATAAACTTCTACGTTAGTTTTAAGGTGGAACTTTGGGAAGACACAGTGGACTTCTCCCCAGTTTGAGTTGAATGACAGGCAAACCTTCCCGAAAGCCTAGATCAAGAGGGATTAGGATCCAGAAACCCCAAGAGACAAGGCCACCATTATTCTGGGAATGAACTTCCTCAAGAGCCCCATTCGGGCACGGTGAAGTCAGGCTTGCTGTGTAGGACTGATGGCATGGGGAGCTTGGCCAACCTGTCAGTTGTTTTTCCTTCCTGAAATCTCCTCTTTTCTTCTAAGCCCCAGGAGCCATTTAACGCAGTGAACGTGATGTCTTCTGCCTCTTCTCTTGCAGGCAGGTGACAAACATTATCACCCCAGCTGCGCGCGATGCAGCCGGTGCAACCAGATGTTCACAGAAGGGGAAGAAATGTACCTTCAAGGTAAGATGGGCCGGAAAGCCCAGTGGGTCTGCCCCACCTGAGAAAGAGCATGGTGCTGCATTTGTGGGACTGTGTTTCAGAGACGAGGGATTTTATTAGCTAAGCAGTTACTAGACAGGAGTGTGCCAGAAGTTACCTCATCAGTGTGTGTTCATCAGCAGAGTAATTGACACACTGGCAGTAAGCCCCAGAGCCTGCTACAGAATGAGCTCATGGTACTGGAGCAAAGACTCCTGGTCCTGTGGCTGTAAGGGACCAGAGAAGGTCAGCAGTTGTTCCTCTGACTCTTCCCAGGACAGTGTTTGGGGAAACAAAAGATCAAAAGGAGAGAGAAAGTATTTAGAAGTTTCGGGAAGCTCTGCTTTTTGGGGGGCCTCTCTGCCTTTTCTCCACTCACCACACTTTGGTGAAGTCTGAGCCTGTTGGCGTCTGGGATTTGGAGAATGATGTCACAGCCATTGTTCCACTGAGGACACAGTTCAGTTGTATGGAGATGGAGACCGAAAGGGGACACACCCACAGTCCCTGCAAGAGTAGGATATTTGTGGTAACAAGGAAGTCTTCATTCCCAAGGACCCACAACATTTTTTTAATTAAAAATAATTTTGAGAAACATCTCCAGTGTGAAACTGTGATTGATTCCGGCCCCTTCTGATATTCCAAAGCCTCTTGGAGAAGCCATAAGCACAGATTCTCTTCCAGCCAAACAGCACCGTGAATGTAAGCATTCTGCTATTTTTAGCTGGAAGAGTCATTAATTAGACAAGGATTTATCAGTACAAATAGCTCAAGCTGTAAGAGCGATTGCTTGCTCGGCTTGGTAATTAGGGGGTCTTGGTTGCTTCGGCATGTCATCTCTTCATCCCTCTTTACACATAACACTGTGTGTGATTTTAATGAATAGTTTGCTTTCCTTTCTCGGTTTTGTGTTTGTGCAACACGGAAAAGTCTCTAAACATAAATGTTGAATGTTAAAATGCAGGCTTGGCTACTCTCTCCTTTCAGAGTTTTCATGGGTCTAGAAACTGCCAGTTCAGTGCCTTTTCTGGTCTAGCCTGATCGCTCCAAAAACTTGTGGTGATACACACTACTGAGTATTGAAAGCGGCAAGTGACAGGTGCCACATTTGTGGTCTCTAGGGGCTTCATAGGACACACTTTCCCACAGACTAGTCATACATCTGCAATGGCTGTGGGCAAATGTCACTTTGCATTTTTGTAGAAAGCTGGCCAGTTCTCATTGTATCTGCAGGCCTTGAGTTTCAGCAGTTAGTGTGACAGTCACATGCTCCCAAGTACATGGCAGCCTGTGTCTGCTAGGAGCAGAGAAACGCAGCTTGCATTGTGGATGTTCACATTGGGTCCAACTGCTCAGCAGGGTCCATGCTGCCCACAGATGCATTTACCTCGCAGACGAGCTGCATTGGGAACCCCGGGTGGTTCTCCGTCTCCTCTGGAGTGAAGCTGTGCTACCCGGTGGATGACTGCCCTCTTGGTGCATCCTTGAGAATGAGCTTCGTTTTCCTCAGCATCTGTTGCTCTCTCGGGTCACATTCCCAGTGTGTTTGGCCTTTGGAGAACAGCGTGGACATTGTGTGCAGATTCTGCATTCTGTCTGGTACCTCCTGCTTAGCAGAACCTTCCAGAGAATGCTCCTCCTGGCCTGGGGCCGACCCGTTGGTTCTCCACATCAAGAGATTTTCTGTGCTTTGTAGCCAGAGTTTGAGCCAGTGTCAGGGCTGAAGGATCTGCCTGGCCGACTGCTTCTTGTCGACTCTATCCCCTTTCCCCTTTTTTTCCTCTTCCTCTTCTTCTGTGTTGAAAAGTGGAAATGATTACTCAATAGAGACTGAAGTGTTATTCTAATATAGAAAGTATTTTCCTTATCTTTGATAGTATTTTAGCTCAACACTGTGGTGGCTTGAAAGGAATGGCTCCCACAGGGAATGGCGCTGTTAGGAATTATGGCCTTGATGGAGGAAGTGTGTCACTGCGGAGGTGGGCTTTGAGGTCTCATATATGCTCAGGTCACCCCCAGTGTCTCAGACCACTTCCTGCTTCCTGCTCAAGATGTAGAATTCTCAGCTACCTCTCCAGTACCACGTCTGCCTACAGGCCACCATGTCCCCTCATGACGATAATGGACTGAATCTCTGAACTATAAGCCACCCAATCAAATGTTTTCTTTTATAAGAGTTGCCTTGGTCGTGGTGTCTCTTCACAGCAATAGAAACCCTAAGACAGAAGTAAAGATCATTCACGAGTTAATTTGGTGGCTTCTGGTACACGCAGGTTGCTGACTGGGAGACCAAGTTGAACTGATTTTGTATACACACAAAGACTGGTGCTGCTTTTTCTTTGCTGTGCAATACCAATCGCTAGTTTCCATCCAGTAATCTCACTGTCTTGACTCTTTGCAAGTGAGCTGTGTTCTTCAGAATTTCAAATGTCTGAGGAAATCCATATGTGGACACAGGATTTATATACCATCCTCTCCCATAGTCATGCATGTATGTGACACCTATTATGTATCTAGTCATACACAATCATATGACAGGTGCTGGGGTTTGAAGACAAGGACTTCTAGCTTTTTAATTCTTAGATGCCTGTGTCACCCATGGCAGTTCTTCACAGTCTGAGGATGGGGGAACCTGGAGTCAGAGAAGGAAAAAGCCCCCCAGATAATGAAGCAGGAACAGGAAATGCCACCCAGATAATGGCTTGAGGAGTTTAAATCAAAGGGTTTTTTTTTTTTCTTTTTTGTCTTAGTTAATTAAAAGGTGAAACGGTTTCTAAATCAACTTCAATGACGTCAGTTGATTACTCATCAAAGTATGGGTAACTATAGAAATGGATGAATAAAAAATTTGGTGGGTTTTATGTCTGGACATAGTCTATCTAGTTTGACTTTACTTCTCTTGATTAAGTGACTTGGATGTTTTGACATTATATAAACGTAGTTTTAAATTCTAAATTAAATGGAACTAGCAGTAAGCACTTACGTGTTACTTTTTGGGGGGGATGGGGTGGGAGTGAGGTTGGGGTGGGGGGGTTCAAGACAGGGTTTCGTTGTATATCTCTGGCTGTCCTGGAACACTCTGTGTAGACCAGGCTGGCCTCAAACTCAGAGATCCACCTGCCTCTGCCTTCTGAGTGCTGGCATTAAAGGCACATGCCACCACCACCCTCTTCATGTGTTACTTTTAAAGAATAATTGTATCTTTCGGTGGTAGCACACGCCTTTAATCCCAGCATTTGGGAAGCAGAGACAGGTGGGTCTCTGTGAATTCAAGGCCAGCCTGGTCTACAGAGCAAGTTCTAGGACAGGCTCCAAAGCTACAGAGAAACCTGTCTGGAAAAAACCAATAAACAAAACAAAACAACAACAAATAACTCCGTTAAAAGCGAAACATCTCTTACATTAGATTGCTGTCTGGCCCAGTTCTGGGGCCTACATTGTTCCTTATGTAGAGGAAGCTCAGAACTCACCCAGAGTCATAGGTCACGTGGGTGGACCCTACTCTAGGAATAGAGGGGTTTGAGCCGCTCTGGAAATCTGTTCAACAGAACTGGGCCATCTTTTCATTTCCCTTTTTCCCAGTGGTCCATTGTGTCTTTCCAGGTTCTACCGTGTGGCATCCCGACTGTAAACAGTCCACCAAAACAGAGGAGAAGCTTCGGGTAAGGAAGCAGTCAGAGCTGGTGGCAGGTTGGGGTGGTCTGGAGGGCACCGCCACATGGTGGCTACTTCCTGGGCTCTGGGGGAAAGTATTTTTCTTAGGCTTTTTTTTTCTTATAGAAAAAAGGCTACTTGGCCAGCTAAGAGGGCTCCCTCCCTCCCACTGTAAATGCATTGTAATTGTTGTTCTCTGTGCTTGTGTTGTACTCCATCAGCCTTATCTGACCAGTCAGTGCCTTAGGAAAGTGTCCAAAGGAACTCCGGAGAAGGGGGAGCAGGGAGGGCTGGTAACTCCTCTCCACCTTAGCCCATCACGCACCACTTTAGCCCAGACTCTGTACCTGTTGCTCAGCTCTGGTGTGTGTTGCTGACAAAGAGCAGTCTCCAGCTCCGGAAGGTGCCAGTCAGTCAGTCAGGGGTAAAGCCTTAGGTGAGGGTGCTGACATCAGCTGTGTGGTCAACCACCCAAGTAGCCCATCTTTCCCACCCTTTCTTCCACAGAGTAGCTTTTTGTTTTCTAGAGAATCTTTTTTAAAAAAAACAAACCTAACTTCATTCCTGATGAAGTCTTTGGGAGGATGGAAGAAGAATAATGAGGCCAGGCCAGACCAAATGGAATATGCATATTTTCTCTGTAAGGATAGCTGGAGTTTGCAGACTGTCTTCCCAATGTGATTAAAAAACAAAGTGGAACATATCTCAATGGAACTCTCTAGAAAGCTTATGGGAAAACTAGTGAACTATTTCACTCATTCTGGCCAAGAGGAGTTTCTTCTTGTTTTGTTCCTCTAGTGAGCTTTCCAGAAAATTCCAGAGCTCTTCTCCATGATGCCCTCCTTGGGTGGTAGGTGGGCTCCAGCTCCCTGCCTTCCAGAAACACAGTAGTAAGGGGTGGGTTTCACCCCAGAAGGTTCTGGCCCAGGTTGGGGTGCAGGCTGATGCTGCTGAGGCTGAGGGGAATTAATCCCGTGCTCTTTAGGGTGTGTCTACACACATCTTGAGCCAAGATTTCCAGGCCTTTTTCCACATGACAAATTAGAGCAGTTTCCATAGCAAAATGAAAATGTTTGAAGACTCTCTGCACAACCCCGGAGTGAAGCACATTCCTGGCATTTAAGAAATCACGGGGCGTTTGTAACAACAGCCTTAGGTTCCCTCTGGAGGCTTCTTTCCTACTGTAAGCACAAGTGTGTCAAAATAAGTGGGAAGGACTCAAAGAGGGGTCATAACGCAGATAGATATGTAGCAGATAAGTGTCCTGTAATACGAAGACCAGTTAACATGCGTTTAACATGGGCCCCAAGTTGACCCCTGGCGTGGCCCATGAGTCTGTGTCAGCCTCTGTCTCCTCTTTGTTTTCCTCTGTCTTTTTACTCATTTTTCCATAACAGTATGAATGGGGCTATTTTGTCATTCATTTTTCCTTTCTCTCATGTTTCATGGCAGCCACCAAACATTCAGCACACTTCATCTGATTTCTTTTATCCCAAAAGTCTGATTCGTCGCACAGGACGGTCCCCAGCTCTACAGGTTGGCGCTGTGTGGGGGCCAAGGCTTAGAGCAGCCATCTAGGCCCAGGCTTCTGTTGCTTCCCTCCACCCCCCACCCCTTGCTTCTCCCACCTGCTGCTTTTGTCACCTAACTCCTCAGCTCCTGTAGCAGGTAGCAGCTTTTCTTACCCCACGAGTGTGCCCTCATGCCCTTACTCGGTTAGTTTTGTTTTGTTCTGTTTTTCTGATGGTTGTTTTTCCTTCTGAGCCATGGCTGAGCTGAGGTTTTGATTAAAGCTGGCTCAGGGAAGCTGCTGTTTGGTATTGTGTTCCCACATTTGTTCACTGGGCAAATATTTACCGTGCGTGCATTCTGCACAGTGCTGGCCGGAAGCTGTATATCCAGCTTTGTCGGGAGAGAAAAGACAGATAATGATAAATTGGACCCAAAACATACCATGGGCTCTGGGTCATTCAGATCATGTTCTTGGGAGTGGCAGAAGAAGGCAGAGTTCTCCAGGGGACACTTCTTGAAGGATAGAAGCAGCTTTTGAATTTGAGGACAGATTAAGATTTCAGTGTTGGAATGGGGAGGGGTGGGCAGCTAGATGAGCACTTGGGAGCTGGGAGCCAGAGGCTTCAGTGCTGGGGGTGGAAATAGTTAGAGAATGGACCAGTGGGGAGGGGGGAGGGAAAGTCTGCCCCACCTTCAGAAGCGGATCTACCTGGTCCTTGAGAGATGACCTCATAAGCTCTTTTATTGTTTTGTTTGTTTATTGTTTCTTGTTTATTGAGACAGGGTCTCACTATATAGCCCTGGAACTATGAAAACCAGGCTGGCCTTGAACTCACAGAGATCTGCCTGTCTCTGCCTCCCAAGTGCTGGGATTGAAGGTGTGGCCCACAACCACCTAAGCTCTTTCCAGGGAACACTGATGATGCTCCCAGTCTCCCTTGGTGTGCTGGGAAACCCAGGTTCCTGTGAGCCTGTTAGCCATGTTCTTTCCAGTCTGCCTCAGGTGGGCAGTGAGACAGATACCAAGGTTACCAGAGAGTGTTAACTGCTCCTGAAAGCCTCTTTGAAATGAGGAAGAACAAAGCAGGCCCCAAGACCCCCTCAGGAGCAGGAAGAGACTTGGTGTTATGTCCCAGGCCTGACTTCACCTCCTTTGAGTGTCCTGAAGAGACCACTGGGAGCCTTGGTCTGTGAAACCACAGGAACTTTTCAGAATGGCCTGCCTGGTGTTGGCCAACATGTGCCGCATCTCTGACCCAATGCTTGTTTGATCTCTGTTCCTCCTCCTTTGCCCCAACCCTTCCAGACCCTCACTAGGGATGACAAGTGCCAGGGCTTCCATCTTTACAAACATCATGTTCTTTCTTTAAATGTTCAAAAGAAGTCGAAAGTGGAGGGAACCCCTGTAGAGACCAGACCCTAAGTTCCCTCACCCATGAAGTGAAGGAAGACAGCAGACCAGTTGCCCAAGGCCTGTGGAGGCTACAAACAGCAACACACTGCAGTCTGGGGCTCTCCAGCTCCAGGCCTCAGGCCCTGCCCTGGCCTGTGGTGCCTGCCTAGTCATCAGCTTGATTAGCCTAGGATCTTCACTGTATTTTACATCTCAGCTCTGGCGGCAAAGCTCCCAGAGACAGCAGAGGGGATTTTGGTGAAGCCCAGGAGCAGCTGAAGGTTGCCCCACAGCAGAGGGGATTTTGGTGAAGCCCAGGAACAGCTGAAGGTTGCCCCCACTTGGCAGCAAGCTTCTTTTTTGTGTTTTTATTTGTTTCTAGTTGCAAGGAGGGACTCTGGCCCCTTCAGTTTAAAAAAATTGGAGCAAAGCAAGTGGCGGTGGCACAAACCTCTAATCGCAGCACTCGGGAAGCAGAGGCAGGTGGATGTCTATCAGTTCGAGGCCAGGCTGGTCTACAGAGCAAGTTCCAGGTCGTCCAGGATTATACAGAGAAACCCTGTCTCAAAATAAATAAAAGAAAAGAAAAAGAAATTTGGAGCAGAGCAATGTGGTTGGAGGCCTGTTTTTAATACCATCTCCCTTCCTAGCCTGTTGTTCAAAAGGGACATCTGATTCCCATTACTTAGTCATAAACATCAAGGAAGTCAACATTAGCTCCACTCAGAAAGTTGTGAACAGCTTGGGGCCCGGCAGGGAGGGCTTGCTCTTGTCAAGGTGTCCCTTGCCCAGTGGTGACAAAGCAGGGCTACTCACCAGGGACTTTCAGAAGCCTGGGAAGTCCCCAGCATGACAGTGGCTTTGGTCTATTGAGTCCTCACACCTGTTCAGCAGCCCTGTGCACTGCTACCTCCGCCCTCTGCCCTCCGCCCTCCGCCCTCCGCCTTATACCCTACACCCTACACCCTGCTTTGTACATGAAGCCCCCTTGGGTGTTAGGGGCCTCTGCTCCTTTCTGCTGGGAGGGGTCAGGACTGCACACTCTGGTTTTGTTGCAGGAATAAAGCTACCTTCTAAAAGGAAAGTAACTGCTTTAAATTTACATTTAGTGATCACTCCCTCCATCCCTATGAATTACAGGTAAAAATTAAAAAGCAGACCATGCTTAAAGAAAACAGGTTCTGGTTGTGTTTACGCAGAGGCGTTAGCCCCACAGGAACAGCAGAGACCTTTGTGTGTAGGGAAAAGTATCCAGCATTGCTGATTCATGATAGGCCAAGCCCAATCCACTCTCATGGCCAACTGTGTAATGACCTGGCGTGGGTCACCTGCTTTCATTCTAAAAGGCATTCCTGCTGCTGTTCATCAAAGATTAGAGCATGAATGACCTAGCTACCAGACACCATGAGGCTGTTTTCCTTCTGAAACTCATTTGCCTGTGGAACCATAACGCTCCTGCCAATCTGTAGCGCACCAAGCAGATCCCACCTGAGTATTTTTCCAAGGAGCTGATGAGTCAGCGTTTGGTGTAGGTCCAGAACAGGAAGTCAGGTGGTTTGCTATACCTTTCATGTCACCGCAGTATCTACCTTATTGGGTGTGTTTGCTCTGTTTGGGGACTTTGGCCTCTTTGGTCAGTCGGTAGTCACAGAGACGCCCAGATCCCCTGACCTTAGCAAAGGCTGATGGCACTCCTGGTTGGGAAGATGTGTGTGTCTAGAGCAGTTCTCAGCTGTGGGTCGCAGCCCCTTTGGGAGGTGCATATCAGAGACTCTGCATATCAGATTTTTACATCGCCATTCATAACAGTAGCAAGATTACAGCCACAAAGTAATTTTATAGGTGGGGGTCACTACAGCATGAGGAACTGTATTAAAGGGTTGCTCGCTACAATGACTTGAAAGAAAGAAAGGAAGAAAGAAAGAAAGAAAGAAAGAAAGAAAGAAAGAAAGAAAGGCAAAGTGGCTACCTATAGGGCCCTGCCAAGTTATGTCACTAAGCGAACACCATGCACAACAGAGTTAGTGTAAGATGTTTATCGAGGGAGGAAGGGAGGGGAGAGTGAAAGAGCAACAGGCGGTGTTGCAGTAGGGACCTGAGACAGACAGACAGACAGACAGACGGACAGAACCGGGAAGAGACAAGAGGAAGAAGAGAGGCAAGAGAGGAACAAGAGGCAAAAAGGAGGAGAAAGGCCAGAGAAGCAAGAGACTCATGAGTCGTCCCCCCCACCCCCCGACCTGCGCCTGGCAGACACTTTTAAGGGGCGCACATGTCGCATAGCTGACGGTGGAAAGGCAGCTGACAACAGCTGCCGTAACTGCCTTAGTGTAACTGACTTGGCCGAGGCAGGCTGCTGCTGCTATGGCGGGCGGGAACTAACAGCAGCATCAGGAAGGTTGAGAACCACTGCCCTTGAGGCTCCTCCTCCGTCCTCTCCAGACACAAATGGTTTCCCCCAAAGGTGTTCAGTTCAGCGTTCACTTATATTTAGCGTGTCCTGATTCTAAAAGGGGAGAACCACTGCCCTTGAGGCTCCTCCTCCGTCCTCTCCAGACACAAATGTTTCCCCCAAAGGTGTTCAGTTCACCGTTCACTTATATTTAGCGTGTCCTGATTCTAAAAGGATTCCTTCTTCTGCAGCTCTTGTCACCTTGTCTGGTGAACCTCAGCAGAAACCCCAGACAGGTACTGCCAACACCAGCCACGCTTAGCCTAAGGTGCAGACACCTCATATTGTAGCCAGCCCCGCTAGCCACTCCTGAGATCTTTGATCTGGTCACCCACTTCCTGTAGTCCCTGTCACCTGCTCAGAACCTGGCTTTAGATGGGAGGTGGCCTTTGCTTCCTTGCGCCTGCTGAAGGGCAGGGGTGGGGGAGGGAAGCGCAGCAAAGGGCTTTCCAGCTCTCTCCTATGGAAAGTAAGGGGTGCTGGTTTTTAGTAGTTAAATCAAGGTGTGAACTGGGGTGGAGACTTCAAAGTCTCCCTTCACTTAGTCTCTCTTCTGCCCCTGGAGCTCCTGACAGCAGGGAAGGTGGACAAAGGGCTTCAGGGGATGAATCAGCTGACAGCTAGTTGGCGGAGGGCAGTTAAAAGACTTATTGGGCACAAAAATAAAAGGTGGTTTTCAGGCATCCAGCCACTGTGGTGATGACACCACATTTTGCTCTCTTTCTCTGTCATTGAAGTGAACTCTATGTATCCCAGGAAGGTCTCTCTTCATTAAAAACAGGAAACAAACATGCAAGCCAACAGCAGCACTTTTCTCAAATCAAAAGAGAGTGTGGGGAAGCTCACTGAGGAGAACAAGGGGAGCCTTTATGGAAGGCTGAGTGCACACAGCTATACCAACCAGGGTCCTAGAGAAGGCAGGGGTGGGGTGGGGTGGGGTGGGGGTTCCTTCTTCCTGTTGTCAAAATGAATACTGAACTATTGGCCTTGGCAAAGCACTTGGAGAGACCACAGCCATATGCAGTCCTTTACCTACCCAGAGCCTCCTTCCTGCTCCCACCACCTGTTGGAGCTGAAAAAAGTTTCTTTTTTCTGACTCTACTTTCAAGTTGTTGGTTTTGTTCTGTGAGGAGACGGAGGTGTTAAAGGAAAGGAAGTGAGTGGTCTTCGCTTCAGCAGCTGTTAAGCCTTGCTGCCTCCTCTTCCGTGTAGAAGATAAGTGGACATTCTTTGGGGGTGCTATTTGAAGTCACCTTCATGTATATATTCATATGTATAATATAGACAAGACAGTGGCTTGGGCTTTTTTGTTTTGTTTTGTTTTATTCCATCTAAACTCTTCAGAGGGCATACCAGAAACAAAGGCTGCCGACCAAAGAGTTAGTAAATCCAGTTCATACCGGATCACCCAGGGGACCCTGGGTATCTAAATGAATTGAAGTGGGTAATTTAGGTTAAATAACTACAGGTATGAATATGAGTTGTAGTTATTTGTAGAGCTGTGTTGCCATCTAATCAAGGAGCACTGGAGGTTAAGGATGAAGAAGTAACTTCTCTCCAAAGCTTTTGGCTGTGGGAGACACAGCACCCAGGAATTGAGGGCTTTAAGGTTAAAGTGAATTTCTTTTGGGTGGCTTTGGGTGGCATATTGAAGAACCTGGGCCACCAGGAGGTATTTTAATAACAGTAGCAACCCTTGTATGTATTGGGCAGAAAAATAGCCTGGAAAAATAGGAAATATTTGAATACTAAGATGTTGACTTATGTAATCCTAGGTGTTTCTAATTGATATAATCCTAGGTGTTTCTAATTGAATGTAAAATTCTGGAGCTAGACAGTAGCACAAACTGCAATCTCACCTGTTCAGGAAGCTGAGGCAGGAGGATCACAGTGAGTCCACAGGCAAGCCTGGGCAACTTAGGCTCCTTCTCAAAATATAAGATGTAAATAAGAGGGCTTGGGGGTAGAGCACTTGCCTAGAGTGCGTGAGGCTTTTAGTTCAATCCCAGGACCAATAAAATAAAATTAACTAGTTCTTAACATTTGGATCAAAGCTCCAAGGGTAAATTGTTCAGCTCTTAAAAATAATTTACCTTCTTAAAGGAGAATTCTCTACTCTCCATGGGTTGAACCAGTCTGTCCAGAAAGCCATTAGGAGCTGTGACAAAATCCTGCAGTTCCATGTTAAGCCTTCAGCAGAGTCCAAGGAGTGGCAAACATAGAACTATCCTGGCAGATAGGACAGGCCGGTGCAGGGTCACTGTGAACCACAGGTAGAAGTCACTGTGTGTGAAGGGATCGGAGTCCCAGCTCAGAGTCCTCCAGGGAGGGACAGACACTGATAACTCCAGGCAAGAATGTGTCCACAGATGTGACAAATCATTTGACAAGCTGTGACACATCCGAGCCCAAGTTCTGAAGCTGCAGCAAATTGCAGGCACTGTTCTGTGTGGCTCACATGTGAACAGGCTAGCCTGTCTGGGGGTACAGAACAGAGGTGGCACCGCCCCTCACGATCTGAGACCAGCTGGTTGAGAGTCCTGGTCTAGGTGGATTGTGGAAAACATTGACCACCTACATATGCCTGGCTCAGTGCCTGGAGCTGTGTCCCTAACCTCTCATTCAGCCCCAGAGACTTGGTAGTTGCAAGTTCTTCTTCTCGGTTTAGAAGTAGAAAAGTTGAAGCTCAAAGTTTTAAAAAAAGAAACAGGAAAAACTCATGTCACCAGCACTTAAAGAGAATGATCTAAAGTTGGGAAGTGGTGGCTCGTGCCTTTAATCGCAGCACTCAGGAGACAGAGGCGAGCCATGTTAACCAGACAGGTAGGCACACTGTAAGGAAATCAACCAACATCTCATCAGGAATTTATTCATGAAGGAAAATTAGGGTTGATTATGAGAGACAACAGCAAGGAGAACCATCTGTGGGCTGAGGAAAAAGGGGGCACTCTGAGGAGGTGAGTTTAAGTTAATTGAAGGAAGAAAAAGAGCCACCCCAGGAAAATGGTGGTGAGAGTTGGGCCAACCAGCAGAGCAGCTCAGATAAAGCAGGGGCACAAGGCCTGTTCTGTGAGTGAGAGGAGGCGATGAGTGAGGCTGGAGAAGTCAGGGACCAGATCCCGAGCCCCGCAGTTGTGACTTCATAGTAAATTGGCCCTATTGGCAAAGGCAGCCTGTTGACAAGGAGCCAGAGTCTTCAAAGGTCTCTCTTGAGATTACCCTTCAGTGCCAAGTGAATCTCGGGAAGGCAGAGATGAGAGCAGGAAGCCCGTGGTGGGGCAAAGGTGTGCAGTGCCATGGTTCTGAGGAGTGGAGCTGGTGACTGGAGCTGGGATACTGGGCCTGCCATGGGCAGAAGTGGGCAGCTTCATATATGACCCAAGTTCAAGCCCAAGGATCTTTGAGGGCCAAGGAAGAGGAAGGACCAAGAAAGCCATGTGACACTCGTTTTCAGGCCTTTCCTTCAAGTGTGTGCTTTGCCTCCTACACCACCCTTGCAGGGCTCTCCTCTTTTAGCTGGTTGAGTTTCCCATGAAGCTTGGGTGCCTGGGCCCGTCAGGGTCAGGAGTCTGACAGGCCACCTGCTGTTTCTTTTGCAGCCCACCAGGACCTCCTCTGAAAGTATTTATTCTAGACCAGGCTCCAGCATCCCTGGCTCACCAGGCCACACCATCTATGTAAGTATTGCGTCCAGAAGGGACATTTCAGGAGCAGGTGAGTTCGAGGATTGGAATAGCAGGATAGTCTAAGAAAGGAAGCTGATCCAGAGGGATTGCCCGTCCTGTTAGAAGACCCAATTTCCCTTCCATCATGCTGGCACCTCAGTCATTCTTCCTTCAATAATTCAATCTATGATCATCGTATCGAAAGTGCAGTCATGTGGTATAGGGCCAAAAGGATTGTTGCACCTAACATGTGTATAGATATTTTGGGATTATGATGCCGCTTCGAGTGGTCTCAAATTCTGCCACGAAGGTATTTGCATATTTAGTTTATTCAATATGTAGTTACTTGTACCTATCAATCTCCAAGTATTTAGAGACCATCTATTTGAGATTCTTTTTCCTCTCTCTGTAATAAAATTAGGAAACTGTTCTGAAAGTTAACATATTTCTCTATTCACCGAATTATACACACAGTCTTTCTTAAGCCTTCAATAGTTTTTTTTTTTTTTTTTTTAAATGTGATTAACAGAGGCATCAATGGGCAGCTTCCTAAATGGTATGACATCACTCAGCAAGGCATTTTGGTTAGTTTTAAGGCCTACATTTTGAACAAGGTGTAAAGCACTGAGGATAATTTCTGGGCAAGCTGAAATATGGGATTAAATTTTCTCTCTGTTTAACTCTGCCAGGCAAAAGTAGACAATGAAATACTGGATTACAAGGACTTAGCAGCCATCCCCAAGGTCAAGGCAATTTATGATATTGAGCGTCCAGACCTCATTACCTACGAGCCATTCTACACTTCAGGCTATGAGGACAAGCAGGAGAGACAGAGCCTTGGAGAGGTAATGGGTCCCCAGGGGCTACAGACAGCATGGCCACCTATCCACTGTCTTTCCACTTGTGTCCAGACCTTGCCTAACCTCTGAAGAGTTCTGTATTTGGTTCTTCAAGGTCTTTAACTTATCCTGTCTGCAGCACCCCATTGTGCTTCTAGATTTAGCCTGAGATGAACAAAAGGCCTGAGGTACATGCATCAGCCTTGCCTTTGGGATAGTAGGCAGGGGGATCTTGTAAAATTCTATCCCAATACCGCTCCCCCAAAAGGCATGAAAATGTGATGACTGAGTTTAATTTAATCCCAGTTATTTCTAATGTGACTTTTATACTGGAGCGTGGACTGCATTAAGGTCCCCAGTCTGGAAAGAAGGTACATGCATTTTCACTTAGCGCCATCTGGTGATTCACTTGCTGTACTGCATCTGCAGCCAGTGTTTGGCCTGGGCTCTTAGCGACCATTGGATCTCAGAATCTCAGGAAGTCCTCTGCCTTCGAGTCAGTGGTCAGGGATTTTCTCAAGTTCAAAGAATACACCCAAGAGGAAATAGATGCTTTAAAAGAGTAATGTTAAGGATGTGTGTGTACAGTATACACACATGCGTGCCACTCTTAGGGGTGGTGTGTGTGTGTGTGTGTGTGTGTTGTTGTTGTTGTTGTTGTTGTTGTTTTGTTGTTGTTGTTGTTGTTGTTTTGTGTTATATTTTCCCATTAGCTCCCTCTGGAGCACAAAATATCAAGCAGAAATTTGGCTTTGAAATGAAGCTTGGGGCATTTAAAACCTGGCTGCGTGTGACATCTCCTAACTTAGAACTTTGGAAAGCAAAGTTGGCAAGTTTTCCATAAGGAGTGAGGTCTTTAGATCAGACCAGTATGACATCAGACAAAGATGCTCAACTTCCCATCAGTTCTCACAGTCCACTCTGTGCTAACCTGCCGTGGTGCCCGTGTCTTTCTTTGTACACAGAGGATGCCCCTATATGACAGAAATCAGATATATTAATAAATTACCTTTGGGTGCATGGATCTCACCACTGAATGAACATTACAATCTAATCTGTTATTTATTCCATTAGTTGTTATTCTTGTTTTGTAAGTCCATGCATTATTTTAAAGACCCAGAGGGGAGGGGAGGTAGCTCCGGTGGTGAGGTGCTGGCCACAAAGCGTGTGGACTGAGGTTGATTCTCAGACCCCACATATTATGCTGTTTGGAAGCGTGTGCCTGTGATCCCGGTGCTGGGAGGTGGAGACAGGATGCCTGGGGTCTGCTCTCTGGCCAGTGTGAACTGGTGAGCCTGAAAGTCCAGCCAGAGAACTGTTACAGAAAATAAAGCAAGTGAAGATGATGACACTTGACATTGACTTCTGGCCTACACACACACACACACACACACACACACACACACACACACACACACAAAGTGAACTTAAAATTTGATGTAGTATTAACACATTTCCAAGATACATGGGTGGTGAGTGGGTGAGTCAAGGAGCCCACCATTGGAATGTTCATGCCTGGCTTCTCCTGCAGGCATGAGAAAGCTGTCCTTACCCAACAAAGCTTTGAGCTCTAAAGATAGGATACAGGTCCTGATGAAGCTTGGTGAAGAGGTAGCCTGTCAGCTTGCTAATAACATGGGGAAAGGAACATATCCTAAGGGCAGGAGGCCCTCAGCCCCACCCTTGCTCAGGCTGAGTCCTCAGAGATGCTGTTTATAGTTCTAGCTGAAGGCCTTTACTATTTCAATTGTAAAACTTTCACTCACTCCAATAATAGTCCTCAAGTCCCTGATACTACCCACCCTTGTCACCAGGAACACACGAGTGTAGAGACAGGCTGCAAAGATGCAGACATGCAGTGAAAATGTTCAGGGAGTTAGTTCAGTGAAGGAGAGTGTGAATGGGATCACGGGAGGTGAGGAGAGTGTGAACAGGGATCACAGGAGTGAGGATAGTGTGAACAGGGATCACAGGAGGTGAGAAGGAGAGTGTGAATGGGGATCACAGAAGGTGAGAAGGAGAGTGTGAGGTGAGAAGGAGAGTGTGAAGAGTGTGAACTGGGATCACAGGAGGTGAGAAGGAGAGTGTGAACTGGGATCACAGGAGGTGAGAAGGAGAGTGTGAACTGGGATCACAGGAAGTGAGAGTGTGAACAAGGATCACAGGAGGTGAAGTGAGCAAGAACAGAGGGAGATCACATGAAGTTAGTATGATGAAGAAAAGTGTGAACAGGTGATTACAGGAGGTGTGAGGTGAGTTTGAGCCCAGATGTCACTGGAGCTGAGCTCTGCAGGTGTCTGAGAAGTGTTGGTGGCAGGGGAGACGCCAATGCAAAGACCCTGGGGTGACAGCATTCCTCCTGTCTACAAACCCTAACCGATGGGTGCTGGAGGGGTCTTCACACCCTGACCAACTATCTCACTCTAGTCGCTGTGGCTCTGAATCAGTTAAAAGCCATGTTAACAAAATCCAAAGTTTCCTTGGCTGTCCTAACATGAAGAAATATCATAAAATACAATTGAATATGCAAGGGAAATAGTTTCACAACGTATTCATTAACACCATGGTACTTGGGTGGAGACATTCTTGTGTCTCCTGGGACTTGGCTGGAGTTTCCCATCAGCCCCGCTATGCACTTTAACCAGCAGTGGATGCTGGCCTGTGTTTGGAGCAATGGTCTTAGCTTGCTTCCATGAGTAGCTCTATCAAAACTGTTAGGAAGTTAACCAAGGTGTTGACTTTAAATTTTCTCTTGTTCTTCTAGTCTCCAAGGACTTTGTCTCCTACTCCATCAGCAGAAGTAAGTATCATTTTGGCCATATTGACAGGTGGAATTGGGAGTGGTTAGGACCTTGTCTACACTTGAAATTTTGAAGAAGTGCGTATGTACTAAAGGACAGCAGAGGTGATTATGAGGATTCTTAAGGATTGCTTGACATGTAAGCCAGGACCAGAGGACAACAGCACACTTCCAAGGGGGACACAAGAGAGTAGAAGTAGCCTCCTGCTGATCCTAGCCTATACCACTGGTAGGAACAGAGGTCAGCACATGTCTGCAGGAACTGAAGCCATTGGCCAGTGAGAGTCTCTTGGCTGTCTGCACTTAGGCCATATTAGACTGGAAAGCCCGAGGAGGCTGGAGGTAGTTACAACATAATCTCTAAGCTGAGGTGCTGCATGAGGCTGCCTGAGTCACCTCTTCTGGGCTGATCCAAAGGCAGGCAGCTTGTTGAATCATTGTTAGGTTTTTTAAAAGTGGTCTTACGGAGCCCAAACTGGCCTGAGTTGTTTTTGTTTTTCAAGACAGGGTTTTGTCTGGAACTTATGCTGTAGATCAGGCTGGCCTTGAACTCACAGAGATCTGCCTGCCTCTGCCTCCCAAGTGCTGAGATAAAAGGCATGCACCACCAACACTGGGCTAGGATGTTGAATTTCTAATCCTCCTGCCTCCATCTCCTGAATGCTGGGATTGCAGACATGGACAACACAAGCACTCTACCAACTGAGCTACACAGCAGCCTTGCTGGATACTTTTTTTTTTTTTTTATCAAACTTGACTGCTCACTGTGGGGTGCTCTGTCATCTGACATGGTGCAAAGAACATGGCATTTTCATGTTTGTGACTGCTATAAACAGTGACCCCAAGGCCCCCACCCCACTGGAAATTTACAGCCTTTCTGAAATGTTTGCATTTCACCAGCTTCAAATTGGATGTTATCCTCTGTGGGAGGTTCTTTTGTTATTTTGTTGCAGCCAACTAGGCCAGACCCCAGCTCCCCTTATTGCTTGTCAAGCTCTCAGAGCCATGCTTACTGACTTACTGACGTGTTAATGTAGTTGCTCTTCACATGTTCTTTCAAATTCTTACTGTGTTGTGCCAAGCAGAAACTTCATAGTCCAACAAATCCCTGTGATGGAAAACACTATTTATTCTCTTCCAGGTCATTTGTTTGTTTGTTTGTTTGTTTGTCTTTGATTGTATCTTTGTACAGATAGGTTATTTTGTACCTATTGCCTAATGTATCCTTTTCTGAGCTTGGGCATAGGTAATAACCCCCAGAGCACTATTATGTTAGATGAAAGTGATATGCTCTAACTTCTTTGTTATTCTCCAATTTGTTGAGCACATAACACAAAAGTTTGCCCCCTCTGGTATCATAAGGGGCACAATTACTTCCTTAGACTGGTTAACGATCTCAGGCTGCCATCTTGTTCCCCTGTAACATCAACTTTAGCTGTCTTAGACACTGTGTGGCTTAGAGGCCAGACAAAAGCTTAGTATCAGGGAATCGGTTCTGAAGTACGCTTTGCATGTATCCACTGCATGCCAGCACATGGGTCCATGACTGCCAGAACTCTTGTTTCACCATCACCAAGAGGGCCGGTGATGCCTCGGGATCTGCCGATCTTCACTGTATGCAGATCTGTTTGGAGTAGTTTTCTTGTTTACTTTATTTTTTTGTGGTCTTTTTGAGACAGGGTTTCTCTGTGGCTTTGGAGGCTGCCCTGGAACTAGCTCTTGTAGACCAGGATGATCTCAAATTCAAAAAGATCTGCCTGCCTCTGCCTCCTGAGTGCTGGCATTAAAGGAGTAGTTTTCTAGTTGGGGGAAGGGCAGGCACATTTTATTTAAGGATACAGTCAGTCAAGTTGGGGAAGGCATGGCTACAGAAGCATGAGGCAGCTGGTCACATGGCAGCCTCAGGAAGCAGAGAAAGATTAATGGTACCTGTCTTCTATTCAGTCAAAGACACTTGCCCATGGAATAGTGACAACCACATTTGGGTGGGGGGAGGAGGTCCTTCTCAATTAAATCCTCCTAGAAACACTCTCATAGACATACCCAGAGATGTGTTTTCCATGGAGATTCTAAATTCTGTCAAGATGATAGTGAAGACAAACTCATGAGACCTGATGAAGGGACACCTGGGGAGGAGGGACCTGGGGAGGGAGCACCAGAGGAGGGGAGACACCTTGTAAGTCCTAAAATCACAGTACCAATGTGATTGTGGGAACTGTTCTTTTCCTAGCACTTGAGCACTGTTGACATTTGTAGCTTTTATACCTTAAAATTTAAATACCACAAAGACTGTTGATTGTGAGCAAAACACATTAGCATGGAACATTCATGCCCATGAATATTTACTGACTATAACCATGAAAGGCAAACACAGACACTTAGAGAAGCAATTCCCCAGTGTCCTCTGTGGACTGGGTTTTACCTAGAAATGTCCAATATCTGTGGAAAGGTGTTTCGTCTCACACTTTCTCAAACTTTGTTACAGGGTTCCCAGGATGTTCGGGATCGGATGATCCACCGCTCCACCAGCCAGGGCTCCATCAATTCCCCGGTGTACAGCCGCCACAGCTACACTCCGACCACGTCTCGCTCACCACAGCATTTCCACCGACCTGGTAAGAATACCCTTCCTGGGGTCTGATACATACTAAATGTGTTTTTGTGTGAATTTCTTTTCACGCCATTGGTAGAAAACAAACAAACAAAAAAACCCTGACTTCAGTATTTCTACCCCTCTTGAAGAACAAAATGAAAACTCGTGCCCATCTTTATTTTGTATTTTGTCTTTGAAAAATCAATCATTCTATCAGTGTGTTCACTGTGAGTTATTAAATGACATTTCGATAACAAAGGATATTTGTAAAGAATTGGTGAAAATCTCATCCCTATGAAACTTAAAACAAGGATCTCTGAAAAAAATTGTTTTTTTCTTTTTCATTTTATCTGAATCATCTAAAGCCCAATGTTAGCCATTGATTGGAAAGTTTAAAGCCCTCCCCCAGGCACACAATGTCATGGTGAGTGCATGGTCAAGCCCTTTCCAGAGTGAGGCCAGAGAGTCCCATTAGGTACTTATCCCTAAGAGTTGAAATCAAACTTGGAAAACCTGAAATCCTCAGGGATGGAGTAGCCATCCCATTGCAGCAGATGGTGGGCTCCAATCTTCAGAAGTTTCAGTCTTTGTGGCTGTAAGTGGAGGTCTTGTGTGTGGAGTAGAAGAATGGAAGCCCTGGCAGAGATGCAGAGTTCTCTGAGAAGGAGTCATGGAGAGGCTTCTAAGAGAATTTGTGATTCTATGTATCCAGAGGACTCCATCTCAGGCTGAGAACCTGTGATACTATGTATCCAGAGGACTCCATCTCAGGCTGAGAGCCTGTGATACTATGTATCTAAAGGTCTCAATCTCAAGCTGAGAACTTGTGATACTATGTATCTAAAGGTCTCAATCTCAAGCTGAGAACTTGTGATACTATGTATCTGAAGGACTCAATCTCAAGCTGAGAACTTGTGATACTATGTATCCAGAGGGCTACATCTCAGGCTGAGAACCTGTGATACTATGTATCTAAAGGTCTCAATCTCAAGCTGAGAACTTGTGATACTATGTATCCAGAGGGCTACATCTCAGGCTGAGAATTTGTGATACTATGTATCCAGAGGGATACACCTGAAGCTTCTTGCTGCTGAAAGGCTAATGAGAACAAATGCATTCAAATGCTAACTTTTAAATAAAATATACAAGAATTAAAACCAATAAGAATGATAGAATAGAGAAAAGCTGCAATTTTCTCTTCAGGGTCATAGATGTAACTCATCCAGAGGACTGAACTATTGGATCTTTCAGTAAAGATCATTTTCTTCAGACAAGGCTGATCTGTGATGTGGCTGTGTAAAATGCTTGCCTGCCATGTGTGAGGCCCTGAGTTTAATTCAGCACCACACACACACACACACACACACACAGACAGAGAGAGAGAGAGAGAGAGAGAGAGAGAGAGAGAGAGAGAGAGAGACTTAAACATATTTTTAATATTTATTAAATTATGTTAAATGGTGTTTTTGAGATATTCCTTTTCAGTTTATAACTACGGTCATTTTATTTGTACCTGGCCATGAGTTTTTATTTAATCTTTTGGTAATTTGAAATCACTTTGGTGCTACTCTACATATAACATGCTGAGACCACTAAATCCTGCCCTGACATTGTCAGAGTGGCATGTGGCCAGTGACATCGGGAAAGTGTCCTTCGAAAGCATCTTGAATAGCCAGGGAATAGCCAGTGTTGCTTTAAAAGCCACTGTCCGTGTTGAGCAGGAGGAAGCTTTACCTTTTTAGTCATGGTTTTGATGCTACAACCTCCTCTCCCAATAGCACACATGTGCAAGACACCAAGCAGTCAGCATTAAAATGTTTCTGGTGCCTAGAAGTGAAACCAGTAACATATCTGTATGTCTGCAGTGTGACCACACATCCACCCTGTGCATTTTGGATGCCAGGTGATGTTTGAATTCCCTGAGTCTAGGTTGAGTTTTGATGGTCCATTCTCCCCCTGAGCAACTGGACTCCTGCCTCCAGAGTCCCCACTACTGCCAGTATCCTGTGTAACTCTGCCACCCAGCTAATACAACAGAGACTTCCTCATGCATAAGGAATATGAAATAAAATGCAATTTCCAGTAGGATAGGCCTGCAGCTTAAAAAGTAAAACAAAACACAACCCTTACATATCTGTATGTCCCTTCAAGATCCTTGAAATGATTGCTGTGTGTTTACACGGGTTTCGGGGGATCATTTTGTTGAATACACTTTAAAGGCATCTGTTGAGTCTATGTGATGTGCTCAGTCTTAGTACTGTGTCATTGGCATTATTGTGCCAGTGTCCCAGAGACCATGTTCGATAAGCCATTTATTGTCAGAGGTTGACTCTGTGTCCAGCTGTGCCAGTCTGCAGATTCTGCCTTTGCCTAGCCCTCCACGGGCGCCCTCCTAACCCTGCCTTCCTCCCTTTCCAGACTCCTGACTAACACTTTCCATTTTTTCCCTACCTTGGGCACCTGCCCTGCTCCTGTGTTAATTTCTTTCTTCTTTTCTGTTTCCCCCTCGCTCTGCCCTGATTGGTTGATTCCCTGCTGCACAGAGCTTTTGTCTCCTGGTGTGCACAGGTGGTCCCCGCTGCGCACCAGCAGCTGCAGCTCCACCCACAGTGACTCCCGTCCCAACCCCCCCTTCAGACACCACTTCCTCCCCCATGTCAAAGGTAAGGAGGCAGGCCTCTGCAAGAGGCAGGGCATTTGGCCTCAGAGTGGAGATTTATTAGCACCCGCAAGGCTAATAAGATGTATCTCCAGGAGTGAGAGCCACTGAGTTCCTGACCCATAAGCATGCCCGCCCGTGTCCTGACTGCCCCTAACTGCGGCCTTAGAACTGGCATGGCATCTTGCATCCAAAGAGATGCATCGTTTCCAAGAGCTCTGTACAAAGCAATGGGATGTGTGTACCTAGGAACTAAGACCTATCTCCTACCAATTAGAAAAATATATTATTATTTTGCCTTTGTATGCATCAGTGGCAAAATATAATATATATACCAGGGTGTTTTCTTGGGTTTCATTTGTGATATGTTTCTGCAAAACACAATAGTATTGAGGAACAGATAATACAAAGTTGTCCTCCTGTTAATAAGCCATTGAACCACTTGAACATGTGTGGATGGCATAGCTTCTCTCTCTGGGCAAATGACTCTGAGTACTTTGCTTTTGATTTTTTCCTAATTAATCTCTATGATGGATAAGACAGGCTCTGCCTCCTTTTTTTCTATTCCTTGCCTGGCATTTCTCCCCTCTACTGCCTGTGTGGCCCTCTGGCTATTTGCTTCCTTGTTGCATATGGTTCCATAGAATCCTTTGCCCAGGGCTTTCCACTTGGGGGAACTGAGAACCTGTGAAAGGCCACTATTTAAGTGAAAGATCCCTGGAGGGATGATAACTTGTTGTGTTACCTTGATGCGAAGCCAACAAAAATAGTGCGAGGAGGAGGAGGAGTCAAGTGCAGAGGTTGTCATGGGTCTGAACGTGGTCTTCAGGGTTCATCCTAAGAGTCCTGGTGTTCATAGCGCCAGTGCATCTGTATCTCCCAAGCAGCTGGGTAGCTGGGATGCTTCTCCAGCTCCTGAACACTCATTGTCAGTCTTCCTGGGCTTTTTCACTTACCTGGACTCCTGAACAGTTGACTCCTGAGATGTATATGTGCTAGGAATTGGGTGTGCAGTTACCTCACACATTCGCTGCTTCGACATTGTCCATGCTTTGCAAATAACACAGTCAGGTGCCTAGGAAGATGGCTCAGTGGTTAAGCCCATTTTCTGCTCTTGCAGAGGACCTAGGTTAAGTGTCCCGTACTTACATGGTAGCTCACAACCAGTTCTAGGGGGTTCTGGTGCCCTTTTCTGCTCTCTCCAGGTACCAAGTGTACATGGTGGACATATGTGCAGACAAACACTCATGTACATAAAAATGAGTTGTTTTTAACAAAATAATATGACTGCCATGTGATGGAGCTAGATATCATTTACCACTAAAGCAAAACTTTTGGGGTGGGCACAACATATTCCAGAAGTCTTGGCTGGCTATTTAAAACCATTGTTGATAATTAACACGGGGTTGTTTTTATATCTGAGTGTCAAGGTTATATTTTTAGAATTTTTATATAAACAAATTACTGAGGAAAAAGCTTCAACTATTTTAGTGAGAGCTACTGGTTTTCATTTTTGACCCATTAAAGTATAAGCTGCTTTGTCTGATTATATTGTATTTTATCTTTCAGAGAGATAATTTTTGTCAAATAGGCCCTTTAAAATTGTTCAATATGTGTACAGATAGCACAACACATCAGTGATATACCCTGGGTCGGGGCATTGCCTGTGGACACTGGCATCTTAGATTTGAATATTTTCTGTTACTTGCAAGCTGTGTGACCTTGAATTGTTCCCTTGTCTTTTTGAATATGGTCTCATTAACAAATCAGAAGGACAGGACAAGGACTCTCTCTCCTAGGTCCTTAGGCGGTGAGGTAAATGGTTTCCTAGCATCAGTATGCAACCATCAGCCCGATGCTCTCTCAGTACTTTTGTGTAGCTCAGGCTAGCTTCACACTTCCTATGGAGAAGTAAATGGCTTTGAACCTCTGATCCTTCTGCCTCTCTACTCCTAGGTGCAAGAACTGGAAGTATGTGCCCCAAACCAGTTTATGGGATCAAACCCAAGGCCAGCATTCTACAGACTGAAAAGCTTGTGCGCCCTAGGCCAGCATTCTGCAGACTGAAAAGCTTGTGCGCCCTAGGCCAGCATTCTGCATCCTGAGCGGCAGCCCACACCTGATTTCCTATTACACCATCCCACTTAGTCTCCAGGGCATCCCTGTGATGTATGAGCTGGGAGAGCTAGGAGCTGAGGTCCTGATGAAGTCACTGACCAAAAACACAACTAGAAAGAAGCAGAACCTGGGACAGATACAGCTTTTGAAGCCTAAGGGTGTGAATGGCTAACCCAGATTCTCCCACGAACTACTTACTTCTCAGTTATTTTTATTTTTGTTGCTTTGCTTTTTTTTTTTTTTTTTTGAGACAGGGCCTCCTGGCTGTCCTGGAACTCACTCTGTAGACAAGGCTGGCCTTGAACTCACAGAGATCCGCTTGCCTCTGCCTCCCAAGTGCTGGGATTAAAGTCATGCGAAACCACACCCAGTTTAAAGCATGTTTCCATTTACACAGGAAGCCTTTACAGCCTTCCAGGCGGCACTTGACTACAACACGGATGTCTTTCAAATGGGACATTGTCTTATCTTGCATCTAATTTTTTTCCCCCTTTTTGGTGTCAGGGTCTCACTCAGTAGCCCAAGCTGGCCCGGAGCCTATTATGTAGCCCGGGCTTGCCTCAGCTTCCTCAGGGCTGGGGTGGCAGGAAATATGCCACCACACTTGGCTTTGTGTTACTTTTGATCTTGGCGCTTAGCTGGCTACCATGGTGATCTCTGTTTTAATGAGTACGTGTCAAGGAATGTGACTCAGAGAAGGATGTCCATCCCGGAACACATAGCTAGAAACAGAAGAGGCCCTTGTCACTCTGGCAGCAGGAGCCCAGCTTTCTGTTGGCCAAGTCTACTTCCTGGTCCTCCTTTGTACTGTATGCTGTCATGGGCCCCTGAGTTCACTGAGCTGGAGACATTTGTAAGGTATAGAGCTGGCAGGCTCCTCACAGGCTACCTCTGCCTCACTGGCTTCCTGTCCATTTTCCATAACGAGGGCCCTTCTGCCCTGAAAGGTCCTCATTTTCATGTTTTCCATCTTTGCAGTTTCATGCTGTATTGAAAAGACCTGGCTGGACCATTCAGACAAAGTCATGCCCTGAGATTTGTATAAACCCAGGATTTACTGAATTTCTTCTTTCCCCTTTGGAAACCTCTTAGACACCACATCCATGTCCAGGAGGTAAACATAAGGTTGTGAGCAGGAAGACTACATAGATCAAGGCCCCTTGAAAGGGGTCTTTTTTGTTATGCCATAGATGGTGCTACCACAAGGTAAACACATACTCAACATTTCCTGAAAATAATTTAATCCTTCCTGAGGTTCTAGCTGAGAACTGTCGAGCTTGAAATGCTGCCACAGAATTCCAGAGGCTGCCGACACCGAGCGAGCTCCACCCCCGCCAACAGTCATAGTTTATAATATTAGCAAGCACCCTGAAAGCCAGGCAGTGCTCCAGCCCACTCTCCATTCCCATGCTTCCTCCCCCCCCCCTTTAGCAATTGTCACCTGGCACCAAAAGGAAGGAAGTGAAGGAAAATGTCTGACTTAAGTACAGTGAACAGTCTCACAGGGACTAACAGTTTGGCTTATTTGGCTGGCAAGGAAGATGCCAAGAGTTAAGGAGCAGAACCATAAATGCGGTTGCAGCTTCTCACTGGCATCACTGAGATCATTGGCACCAGTCTGGTGGACAGGGATGGCAGAGGCTGTGCCTTCCAAATGCGATGCTCTCTCCAGCATGCGCACTTCGTTTGCTCGAGTGCTAAGCAAAGCAGAACCCACCTTGCAACTCCCACTGGTTTTTCCTCCCAGAGTAGAGTTGGAAGTCACGTAATTATTTTTTTAGTTTTATTTTTTATCTTCATTGGGATCTGGGGTTGTGGATAGTTGTGAGCTGCCATGTGGGTGCGGGAAATTGAACCCAGGTCCTCTAGAAGAGCAGCCAGTGCTTGCCACTGCTGAGCCATCTCTCCAGCCTGGAAGTCATATAATTTCGAGTGTTTATATTAGAAAAAGAGACTTGATCTGGAGAATTGTTTATCTTTCTTTTAAAAATATCCCCTGATAGCTCAAATATTTTGTAGTTTAGGGGCTAGGAATTGGGAACTTAGCAACATTATTCACCAGAGAGCTCATTCCCTCATTGATTCACTGTGGTGCGTGAGTTACTATGACTTCTTATGTCACAGAGTTTGAGAGTCCCAGCTCTGGTAACCCAACAAGTCAGGCCTTTCCTCCCATCCTAGTGCCCCAGGTAAAGAAGTGAGTGATGGTGAAGGCAGATAGAGGAGATTAATGAGCACATTAGGCAAAGGGACACGTGAGGGTGTCTAGTGACAGTAAAGCGTTAGTCTAAAATTGAGGAGGAACAAAGAGAAGAGGCAACACATGAAGTCTTAAGTCCTGGCCAAGAGCCTGGCTCTGTGAGTAAAATGTGTACCAGGCAGGTGTGAGCACCTATGTAGTACCAGCCATGATGGAGGGTGCCTGTAATCCCAGCTCTGGGGATGCAGAGATGGGCAGATCCTGGGGTCTCACTGGCTAGCCAACCTAGCCACAATGGAAAGTTCCAATTCAGTGGGAGACACTGTCTCAAAAAGACTATGGTGGAGAACAACAGAGGGAGGTGCCTAAATTTGACCTCTGGCCCTTTCATTCATACCCATGGGTGACTTCTCTATCTCCCTACCCACACACACACACACACACACACACACACACACACACACACACACACACACACACGATTCCTGGCCAAACATCATCTTGTCCATAACTCTCAGCTCCAATACTGCAAGACGGTACATGTCAGTTTGTTAATTACTGTTTTCACCTATGGGTGATGTTTCCTGTGATATGACTCCTCTAGGGTGTGGCTTTTGTATCATAGATAATTGTTCTTACTTTGGGGGTGCTCTGTCCTGTGCTGTGAGGATTCATTGCTCCTTAAGTCAATTTTAAACTGTGAAGACTCACAGTCTCTGAGCCTTCAGCATCGATGAGAGACGGGACAGGTGGGCTAGGCGGTGACGGTGCAGCACCAAGCAGTTCGCTGACAGACACAAAATGAGGCAAAGACGACCGGCTTCCATCGAGCTCTTGGTTATGAGGACTTTTACCTGGTGTTTTAGACAGTCCTGTAGGAATCTTAGATGATCATAGAATTGAATGTACTCCTCAGAGACTTGCATGTGCTACTAGTGGATTTTGTCTTTGTTTTTAACAACTGAAAAGGTCAGTGGTTGTTGAGGGAACAGAACCGGATCAAAAGCAACAGTGTCGTAAGTGGTGACAGCACTCCTCAGCCCCAGAACCCTCTAGTCTTTTCCCTTATCGGAAGGGGATAGGTTGTTACTGCCATCTGACACCAGAGGGTGCTGTTGATGGAGCCTCGGAACTGCTATCTGCCATTAGCAACCTTCAGCCTCTGCCCGCCATGTGCTCATGTGATTTCAATGACCCTGCTTAATCACTACTGAGAAGCCTTTCCTGGATGCTCATCTGACCAAACTTCTGAAAACCCTCTCCTGAATCCAGTGCTCTGCGAGGACACGAGGGTTGAGGGTGGATCCAGGGCAATCCACATTAATACTTGCATAGGTTTTGGCAGTCCTTGGTGTTCTGGTGTGTTCTTAGGACATAATGCTTGCTCAGGTGTGGGGCAGGGGGACAAAGTAGGCCAGTAGTTCATTTCTTCCTAATTTGTATATGCTCTTCCCTGCATGCCTATGGACAGAAGGGAAGGAGTGTGTGTGTGTGTGTGTGTGTGTGTGTGTATTGTGTATATCTGTGTGTATGTGTGTGTATATGTGTGTATTGTGTGTGTGTATTGTGTGTGTATTCATATGTGTGTGTATGCATATGTGTGTGTATATGTGTGTATATGTGTGTGTGTGTGTGTGGTGTGTGTGTGTGTCTGCACTCGAGGATCTTGCAGCTAAGCTCCAACCCTGCATGCCCCACGGACAGTGTCTCCTCTCTGGACACCTTTCAGTGCTGCAGCTCCGTCACCTCCTAGCTCATGATGTCCTAGGTCTCTAGACAGTTGCCTTTTAGCTTCTCTGGGGCCTTTCTCTCCGATGCCATGCTCCAAGGAACTTCCTAAGAACTGTGAGAGCCTGCATCTCCTTTGTGAGCTTGCATATCAGTCCTCTGGGTGAGAAGGTACACGGTGTAGCAACAGCATGGTCAGGAGACCCGAGAAGTAGAGACAAGATCTGTCTCCTTCTTGGATTTGCACAAGCCAGTGTTCAGTTAGTGTGTTAGTGACTGAAGTGCTGGCCAGAAGGAGCCTTATCTTGCAAAAGAGCACAAATAGTCCCATGGTATCTGTCAAGAAGGGGTTGAATTCCAGCTGTATATTTTAGAGCATGACAAACAGAAACATAGGCTGCCATGAAAGCACTTTACATTGTGGAGGGGAAGGGCTGGGTGACCTCTGAGGTGCCCGGCCTTAGCCTCAAGTTAAGAGAAACATATTCCAGTGGCCAGCCTCTGCCTGGAAGGAGGTGGGGCCTGCACATGCCACTCACCTACATGCTTGGGGTTCTGCATCTGACGACCAGCCCAGCCCTGTTCCTCCTCCCACACTTACCATCTCATCAGTTTGCTTTGCGGAGCTCAGGGCCTCCACCGCATGCCATTGGAATGATGCGTCCCTGACTGCTGGCTGCTTTGAACCTGGTCCGACCTGAGCTCAAATCCCCCCTTGGAAAACTAACCCTGATGCCATCTCTTCAGGCCAAGTTGACAAACTTGAGTTTGTTTCCGTTTCTGATATCCCCTCCTTCCAACCTGTTGTGTTGAATTTTGATCGCCTGCTCGGTGGTTTCCTTCGTCGCCCTCCCTCTCTCATTCTGTTTTTTTCCATTCTTCTCATTGGAGGCAACGAGCCGTCCAGCGGCCGGAGCTCCCCTCTCCCTTACCGGCCCGACAGCCGCCCTCTAACTCCAACTTACGCTCAGGCCCCTAAACATTTCCATGTTCCAGGTAGGAGCTGACACGGCGTGTCATGGTGTCCTGTCATGGTGTAGAATGTAGCCTTGTAGCCTCGTCTGTCTCCATTCCTCATGTCCCTTCATCAAGATACACAGTCAACAAACACTAAATTGCAGGATCTGGCCTTCCGAATGATCTAAACTGAAGTTGGTGGGATCAGATTGAAGGCCTAAGTTTTCAATTGAAAACATTTTTTTTTTGTTTTCGTGGCTGGGGATTATACATGCTGTACGAATGCTCGCTCACTGAGCCACATACCCAGCCCTCAAATGTCCTTAGAGATTGGGTGGGAGTGGGAGGCAGAGAGGATAAAGACCAACAAGAAGGGTTGGGTTTTTTCCTTCTGTCAGATTGTGGTTCCCTGGCATTAACAAGCTATCTGAAGAGCCATCTAAACCACAGTGTCTCCTGAGAATGCCTTCATAGTTGTGGCATTGGATCAGCTAGCTGGTGCTTCCGTAATAGGTAGTGAGCAGGTCACCTGCACAGCTTACTAAAATATCTTGCAATTTAGGCTTCACACTGCAAGCTTTGCCCTCGTAGTCACAGTGCTAACTACCACAGCTCAAATAATAACTTGCCATCCAAAAGAGGAAAACCAGCTGGGCACGGTGGCGCACGCCTTTGGTCCCAGCACTTGGGAGGCAGAGGCAGGCAGAACTCTGTGAGTTCAAAGTCAGCCTGGTCTGTAGAGCTGGTTCCAGGACAGTCAGGGCTACACAGAGAAACCCTGTCTCAAAAACCAAAACAAATCAAAATCTGGAAAACCCAGAGCCTGTCACTATCCTGACATTAAGGGTCAGCCCAGTCCATGAGATGGACTAGCCATCTGAGGCCACCAGGAGTTTCATAAATTACCCACTAGGTTCCTATAACTATGCCTATCTGGAATTTTTTCTTGGAATTTTGAATTTACCCAGCAAATCAGGAAGGTGCAATGAGATTGGAATCACTTATCTAGGACTTTCCTTAAATTTTTTTCATTAATCTTGAAAAACTGTTATGTCCATTCAAAGTTGTTTTATATGAAGAATTCCCCTCCAAGGTAGAGTACCTAAGACAATGGGGGAACAGAGAGAGAACTTTGGAAATACGGGAACATTTTTAGTCGAAGTGAAATGGTGTCATCAGACAGTCTCTGCAGACATGTGTACTGCTTTTCTTTTCTTGTCTAACACAAATTCGGCTCGCCTGGGTTAGGACTTTGTTGATCATCCCAAGTGTTGCTTGCTTTGTGTATTCTGAGCTTCCCACATCACTTCCCATTGTTCCTGTCATTAACTGAAATCATAAATTGAGCCACGGGGTGACTCCTGGCAGCTCAATTTCTAGACAGTAGCGATTTGGGGATTGTTTTTCCCCAAGTCTCCACTGCGAGCATCATTTCCTGTCTTGATCCCACCTTCAGTGGTGTCTGTGTGTGAAATAAATGGCTCCTGAGTGAGGTACTTCTCTGTGTGCTATGAGGTGTTACAAAGGCTCCTACGTCATGTGTTTGAGAATGTGTAGATTTGGTTCATTTCTGTAGTCTTTTCTTCCAGTGTGCTCAGTCTTTGTAATACAAAGGTTAGCCCTCTGGGTTAGTTACCCTTTGGTTGGCCTATTGTTTTGTCTTCTTGTTCTTTGTTTCTGAGCTGGTTCCCATAATTATAGTCTTTGCTTTTCATTTCCACAGATCAAGGGATCAACATTTACCGAAAACCTCCCATCTACAAACAGCATGGTAACACTGGCTTTCCTCAGCTCTGACGTGGTGGGGTCAGCTGGGCTCCTCTGCTTCCTTCCAAAGGCTTCCCCAGTACAGTGTGGGATGACTCAAACTGGGGCACGCTGTGTATTATGTGTGCCCTTGTAATCTGACAGGATACAGATGTGACTTGGAACCCATGTGCCTGGTCGAGAGCACTTAGCTCAGTTAGGAAGCTTCTACCCGTTTCTGCTCTCATCCGGCCCATGGAAAGGGGAGTTGTGATCACACAACAAATTAGCCCAAATCACCAAATAACCTTTTTTAAGTCACCGAATAATCTAACCAATTTCTTAATAAATTTGATGAGCTTGCTAGTTCAACTAGTTCAAATAATTAAAGCTAGTAAATATGAACCACCTATGAAAATCCTACAAGGCACGAGCCCCGTAGTAGACAGAGCAAGGAGCTGAGGCAAGTAGAGAGGCCAGCCCATATTGCTGATGCAGCTGTGTGGTTCCTGGGAGTAAGCCCTCTGTGTTTTAGTGTTCTCATCTATTCAGTTACTTAGATGAGCGTGTCTCTGACATTTCTAGAAGCGAGGAATCACCTAGGTGGATTTATTATTGTGTTTTCATTTTCTGGGGATATGTCTTTTAAATCAAAAAAAAAAAAAAAAAGAAAAGAAAAAAGAAAGAAAGAAAAAAAGGAAAAAAACCACACTATTTTCTGTGAGTTTCATTGTTTCCCCCACCATTATGAGGCCTCTCTGGATTCATCTGCTATAAATCTGTGGCTTAGATAGATGCCCAAACTAGCTTTCTAGTAAGTTCTAAACAATTACACATTAATTGCGTTTGGAGATTTGAGGGCTGCCCATAGATCTAGTCAGGAATAAGGAAGAATTCAGATCTCAGCTGGAAATACATAAGGAAAATCTTCCAGGCCAGCATTCTAGGGAGGGGAAAGGTGTGTATTGTTTGGTTTTCCTTTTCTTTTTTATTTCAAGGTTTTACATACCATGCTTGTGTTTTAAGTTTATTAACATTGTTTTTGTTTCTGTTTTTTTATGGTTTAATGTCTTCCCACACACTCATTAACATGTGAATGTTTAACTACTGACTTCACCAATTCTAATGCGTAAGTACTGTTGGAAGTCATGCTTTTTTGGTTTTCCTTTAACAATAAAACACCCAGAGTTAGACTTAGCCACTTAGAGATGTCAGTAAATATTAGAGTCTCTGGCCCCTATCCCTGCTAAACAACAGTCAGAGGTGAGCCAGGGAGGTTGGCTGGCATTAGGCTCTGTGTGGAAGGAATGACAGAAGTCCTTGTTTTCAGCCTGCTGTAATTGATTGATAGCACAACTAGAGCAATACTTTCCAAGACACGTTCGCAGAACTCTGCTCCATGCCAAAGAAATAGATGGCATGTCCCACACTGATACCTGTGCCCTGGAACATTTTCCAGAAGAAAAAAAGTCAGTTTTCTTCCTTTTTACATAGAAGTCCAGTCTTGCTCTGACACTCTGAGCCCTCCTGGGAGGACAGTGTTTCCTAAGCCAAGATTTTTCTTCCCATTAAAGTTAATGATTCTGAGACACACTGCTTCCTGTCCAGCCAAGACTCTAGCCCTTATTATTGGGTAACCTTGGTCAAGTCACAGGAGCGAGCTGAAGGCCGGAGGTTACCAGAAGAACTGGAATATTCAAGAAAATTGTTTCCAGATTTAAAAATATGTGAGCCCCAAAGAAAAAAATAATTTAACTTCAGCCTTATAAATAGTTTTTGAAACAACAGGCCAGTTTGCCAAATCAACTGGAATTAGGGACAGACCGCTTAAGCTGGTTTGTTTTGCTCCGATTCTGTGATTGGATTTGGGGCTTGAAGCTATTGAGTCTTCCACAGCAATTGCAACCCTGGAACTAATGTTTGCTTGAGCCGTTCTTATTTTCAAGTTGGCCAGCTCACTTGTTTGAATAGACCCCTGAACAACAGTAAGTCTGGGTGATAGCCATGAATCACACTGATGTCTGGTAAAGCCAGAAGTGGATTTACAAGATCCAAAGACCCATATAGAGTGTGTAAACAGTCAGTGCACCAGATTAGCATATCTGTGGCCTCTTGGCCCCCAACCCAAAGCCAGCCCTTCCCTAAACAACTACATCGAAAAGCAGCTTCTCCTGCTTACTCCTCAGCTCTTTAATCTCAATTTTAGAACTCAAATTTCTAGTTAACAAAATTTCTAATCCCAAGAATATTTAAAAATTAAAGAGTGGACAATTCTCTGATGGCCGAAGTAGTCAGAGTTCTACCTTTGAAACATTCCATGAGGAATGGAAAGTCACGTCTGTGGGGTGGTACCAGCATTACTTTGCAGACCCATAGCTAAGCATCCCTGGTTCCCACCTAGATGCAGCTGCCTTGGCAGCCCAGAGCAAGGCTTCAGAAGATATCATCAAGTTTTCCAAGTTCCCAGCAGCCCAGGCACCAGATCCCAACGAGATACCAAAGATTGAGATGGACCACTGGCCCGGTGCCCCCTTACTTGCCGCCGTAGGTATGCATCCGATGCTGCTAAGTCAAACAGATACATACATTTCTAGGAGAGTGCAAAACGAACTATTAAAAGCATGCAAAGAAATGTCACAAAGACATGTAAGGAAAGTATACAGGCCGAGGGGTAGAGCAGTGAAAAGAATGAGCATGGCATAGATGTGCATGCAAAATGCTTAAAAGGTAAAAAAAAACCTCTGCCTCCCACGGCCTGGCTGAGCACAAAACACACAGCCATGAACTGGTCTGAAACCCATGGCTTGGGTGGACCAATTCGGCTGTCTGCTGAACACAGTTGTCTCAGAGCCTGCGGGCAGAAGCTTATTCTGGAGAGCAGAGTAGGTGAAAACAGGACTTTCCCCAGTTACTTAGGTTTTAGACAGTATCTGGATTGTCTTTCCTGCTGTTAACAGGCAGCCTTAACCCTGAAGCCTCTCCCTGCTCTGCCAAGGTCATCCTCTCCCCTGCTAAGGAGGGCTGAGGTACCTACGCATTCTGGAGTGCAACCTGTGTGTGACTTCACATCTGTCGTTCCATGGTCCCGCGCTCAGTGTCCCATTGGAACCATGCCATTCTTTGTGTCCTGCTTTCTAGTCGTGTCTGTGTCTTTCCCGTTTTGTCATTAGTGAAATCACTCAAGCCTATAGAAATGGATCACAAAGCTTGGTAGCTAAAACTGAAAATTAGATCAGTCTTACAAAAGCACAATTATGCTCATTTTGTTGACAACCTGAAGAGCCTTCAATGTTCTAAAAATTCTTAATCTTCCTCACCAGGTTGGGTTGTCTTTTAATAACTTATATAGGCAAGAGAACTTTGTTTTAAAGTAATTAATATTTATAGAAATAGTTGAAGAGAAATTTATTCTCATTATCCGAAAATATCCTATAATCAGGATGATGAGATGTGCCTAATTCTTACAAACATTGGCCTATCGATTTTTATGAGTATAAACTTAAGAGAAAATCCACATTGGCTTTTGAAGCAGCTGTCAATCTCTGCCCTTCAGGAAACTTAGGCTCTTAGGCTTTTTTACCTTAGCTACTTTGCTCAGTAGAGACCTAAGTTCAGAAAGAGGGAACATCACGGTTGATGTCACCGTCACAGTTGCGTAGAATCCTAAAGTGAGGAAAATGCCTGCTTCTTCATCAAAATAACAAAAAATACACATATTGGTAAATTTTACTAGACTAGAAAAAGTTCCTGTTTCCTGGCCAGGTTAATCTAAGTGATTTAGGGACAACACTTACCCTAGTCTTCCTGTCACTCTGACAGACTCCCCTGGAGGCCTAGAAGTGATGTGTCAGCTACTGCACTCTTCCAGAGTCGCTTAGAGCCGTGCTAACCCTGGTTTTGTTCACTTACTAGTAGCAAATTCTCTGGTGTGAGGAAAGGAAAATAATAGACTTAGCCTTTAAAAGAAGCACAGCAAGTGTGCTTTTTAATGGATTTACTAAGGGTAGAAGAAAACTTGGCAGTTTATTTTGTAAAAGTCTAAAACCAAGAAAACAGGGCAACTGCAAGTTTTAAAAGCTTGCCCAAGATAGCAACTGTCTCAGCAATTTGAAGATATTTGGATTCCTTGCTAGCTAAAACTGACCAGGAATAACTGGAGGTATCTGCCTCTCCACTTAGTATAACGAGCTCTATAGTTTAATGTTGGTGCCTGAGACTCAGTTGCCATAGCAAGCCAGGTCTAGTTCACAGACAGGTGTTGAGAGGCCAAAACCCCTAGGTTAGCTGCATTACACACTGAACTGGCACCATAGTGGAGCCTTGAGAAACCAGCCTGTAGTGCTGAGTTGGTGATGGGCATTTTGGCCGTGGTATTATGGAAGCCTGCTGACCTGCCAGCTTTCCAGCCTGATAGACAGCCAGATGGACTAGACCGCTAAGATTTCCTTTATCGTGGGGCTGATGTGAGAAGTTGTCTTTACTGTGGAATTAGGAACAGACATGAGACGCAGATCTAGCGGCAGAGAGGAAGATGAGGAGGAACTCCAGAGACGCCAGACATGAGACGCAGATCTAGCGGCAGAGAGGAAGATGAGGAGGAACTCCTGAGAGGTTGGCAGCTTCAGGAAGAACAACTGATGAAGGTTTGTCTTCTCCGCTGCCCTCAATTCCATTTCCATTTGACTGCAGGTGTTTGCTTGCTTTAAATAACTACCATGTGCACACCACCATGGGGCTTGCGATCCAGTAGGAGACACATGGCAGGCATCTGGTGATCCAAGGTGCTGACAGTGAGGTTGGAGGGTTAGGGGGTCACAGAATTCAAGGAGCACATGACTGAGGTGTGCAGGTGTGCAGGTGTGCAGGTGTGCAGGTGTGCAGGTGGACCAGTGGAAAGGATGTGGAATGTTCCTTCGGGCCAAGATGGTGTGTACCCAGGGTCATGCAGGTCTTGCTAGAGGGAGTTCCTCGGGATGACATATTGGTCCAAATCTCTTAGGACAGAGTAAATACCTGGGATGGTAAAGGGGTCCTAATTGGTGTTCCACCAAGAGACCCCTCTCCCCACTCTTTGTGTGTTCTTGCTTCTTGCTAGGACCCTTGGCATCTCAGAGGGCTAGTAAAGTCTAAACTCTGAGCAATAAGGGGCTAATGGAGCAGTTACAGGAAATGGGCATGGTGTGGGGTGCACAGAGAAAGGATGCAAACAGCAGCACTGGTTTTCTGTAAAAAGTGTAGAACAGTGAGAGATGGGCGCACATCAGAATGCAGACAGTGGGGACTCCTGTGGGGTCACAGTTTGTTTCCTTCTGGATTTTCTAAAATATGTGTGAGCATACATTCCTTCTTTAACAGCTTTTAAGGCAGAGGCCGCAATTTATTGTTTAAGGATTCCCTAATCCATAATCTCTCCCTCCTGTATCAAAAACCATCAGATGTGCACACATGTTGAAGCCAGAGAAGGAAGGCGACCTTTTAACTTGGAGCCTGGCCTGGGGAAGAGAAGGTTGGCCAATGAAAAGGCTAGAACCCATCCAGCTCCTAGGGAAGCCCAGGCGCCAAGCAGAAAAAGCGCTAGCTCATGTCAGCAACTGCATCGTGTTTCTTTTTCTTCTTCCTGTGGATAGCTCAACTCAGGCCTGGGGCAGCTGATACTGAAGGAAGAAATGGAGAAGGAGAACCGAGAAAGGGCGTCCCTGCTGGCCAGTCGCTATGACTCTCCCCTGCACTCAGGTGAGCAGCAGACCCCTGCCTTCTGTGGTCTAAGGGTGGGCCCAGCCACCTGCCTGTTATGCAGGAGACCAGCTTGTGTGGTCTTCTAACCCCTAGAGTTCCTTCCGAGTGTGAGATTCTGGCCTGTGTGAGTATGTGTAATGCTACAACTTCATAGGTCAATAAACAATTTCAGAGCGATTGTCCCGTCCAGAGATGCAGGGGTGTTGAGCTTTAGCTTCCTCCATGGCCAGGCTGCCTCTCAGACTCCTGTGCCCTCACGGATTCGATTCTGCAACCCAGGCCAGCCCAGGGGCCCAGCTGTGGTCAGCTGGATCGTCTTGGCATCTTACACCCTTGGTTTCTGGGTCAGTTACTGCTGCCATCCCATACTGCACCTGGGTGTAGGCACCCCAGAGTCCTTGCTCTGCTTACTTCCTCAGCCCCTATTTTTGTGTCTCCTGTAACACAGAAACAATGGTGCTCTTAGGATTGAGGGCTCAAAG